TCAAACATTTTAGTAGAATAAATGTCATGTTTGAAGTGCGTCTACTGAATAAAAAAAACGTATTCATGATGAATCTGTTTAGTCTGCATTTGTCAGTACTACTTTAAATCAAAGATACATGGCAGATATACATCTATGGCGATAGAAAGGATTACAGATAAACATCGATACACTTCAATCTATATGAAATTTCATATAAAAATTCTTTTCTAGTCAATAGCATTCAACGAAAAAGATCTTATGCAATTATCTACTGACACGTATTCATTTATAAAAATCTCTCAAATTTTTAAATAAAGAATTGACTTAAATATCGAAATCGAGATTGAAATTTATTAGAATTCAAATTGAGGGTGTGGGTGTGGACGTGGGTGTCGGTGACTGTCAATCGACCTTTAACAGCACCACACACCCACACCCACACCCACACCCACTCACACCCCACCCTTGTTCAACGTTAATGAAGAAGATCAAGATGTGACAAACAAACAAGATGTAGATGAAATTAAAACTAATTAGATGAACTTCAATGGTATACGAATATTCGATTCGATCAATCCAGCATTGAACAGCTCTTATTTTTAGATGCAAATAAAGAAAAAGGTTAAATGTATACATAAGCAAATAGCGTGTTTGTTATTGACCGATAAGGCTATTCATTTATCGACTGATAGATTTTCACGAGTGATAGGAGCAAACAAATAAGACTAAAATTCTTTATAACTTTGATATCTAATTGATAAAAGCTTTCATATGTAAATGAATATCTGTATTGAAAGCATTTGAACTATTAATTATGATTTTTTTTTGTTCAAACGAACACGAGCTTTTTCGAGCAGCTTGGCAACACAATAAAACTTCTCATATTTCTGCTGAAATAAGATCATCAAAAATCGCACGACTTAATTGAACTTCTTATGAATTATTTGTACACTAAGTTTACTTGGAAAAATTCAGCAGACTTCCTGTGACTTCACGAGACTTCTACAGACTTTAACAGAATTCATGAGACTTAATATGATTTCGTAAGATCTCAAGGGACTTCATGAGATTTCATAAGATTTTAAGAGACTTCTGAGAGTTGAGAGGACTTCAAAAGCGAAGTCTCTGCTGTTTACCTCTCGATCCCATGCCTATCCTATTACTTTTTTTCAACAATTCTCTCATCAAAAATTCTGCATAGTAACAAATCAAATAAAGAGAAACTCACGTGTTACAATGAGTATATTTTATATATGTGAAAAAATCTTGATAACAATAAAAGTATTTTTCATAAAAACGACCTACACTCGTTCTGCCTCTCGTTGATTGGGCGCTTCATACACATATATCTCATCATTTCTGCATCAACATCTCTAAAACACGCAAAAGACAACAGGTCCTTGAAGTGAAGCAGAATTCAGCACGTTCCTTTAAAAGCCGATGAAAAAAAAGTATTTGCTGAAAGAAATCATATATAATAGATATTTTTAATATCGAGAATAATAGAATCACACTTTTCGTATTCGATTCTTCATGTATTATGGACAATAAAGAATCAACAACAGTTGCTACTAGTGAAGTACCGACAATTACACATACCAGAAGCAATAGGTCTGGACTTTCTCATCCTACACGTCGAATAATTCAAAATTTTTTGCTCGTTTGGCTTCATACCAATATCGATGAAACGAATAATAGTTTTAAAAATTCTTTTCCACAATTGCGACGTATTGTGGCATCCATTACAACATTTACAGATGTGCGAGAATGCTTCGATTTCCTTAGTGAAATTAAGAAACAAAAGGCTTTTATGATCGTTTCCGGGCATCTTGATCAACAAATTGTGAGACAAATTGAAGAAACCTCACAATTGGACTCTGTGTACGTACTTTCTGACAATAAGACCTATGATGAAGAATGGGCCATGGAAGTTGCAAAAATCAAAGGGATTCACACAAGTATCGAGCCAATCTGCAAAGCACTTCGATGCGATCGGGAACAAATTGATCGTAGCCTGGTGCCTATTGACTTTAATCGCTTAGACTCATTATTTATGTATACGAAGCTATTGAAAGAAGCACTACTACAGATCGAAGATGATGATCAACAATCAATTAAAGATCTGGCTCAATATTGTTGGGAAGACGATGATATTGATCCAGATGAAATTAAATTTATGATTGAGGAATATGGCAAACATAGACCCATCTGGTGGTACAGTAAGAAAACATTCCTGTATTCAACATTGAACTATGGTCTCCGTCAAATGGATATAGATATTATTATGAAGATGGGTTTCTTTATACGTGATCTACATAATGATATTGAAAAATTGTACAAGGAACAACAACAATCTGACAATAACAAGACACAAAGAGCACCTTTTACATTCTATGGTGGACAAGATGTATCATTAGACTTGTTCGACAAGATGCAGAATGCAAAAGGAGGGCTTATGTGCTTTAATAATTTTCTATTAATAAGTAAAGACCGAAAGGTTTCCCTTGACTTTGCGTGTAAAAATCTGAAACCAAATCTCAAGTCTATTGTTGGTATTCTATTCGTCATGGCCATTGAACCTGAGCTATGCCGGAAATTGAAAATACACTATGCTGATATTAGTGAAGTTGATGCTTGTGGAAAAGATGAAGCAGAAATATTATTCACAACACATACAATTTTTCGCATCGACCATATTGAGGCACTTCCAGAGGCGGATCGTCTTTATGAAATCCAAATAACACTCATAGCTGATCAAGATAACGATTTTAGTAAGCTGACAGTAAGTATGCGTGATGAAGCACATTCAAAAGCAAGTCCCGGTTGGTCCCTATTTGGTTATATATTGCTCCAAATCGACGAAGTTCGAAAAGCAGCACATTTATACGAAATACTTCTTGATAAGGCCACTGGTCATAAACAACTATCCGAATACAATTTCTTTCTCGGATGGGCTAATTGGCTAATTGGTAAATACTCCACGGCACTTGAATATTATGAAGAATCATTGAAAATCCGAGAGAAGAATCTAACTAAAAATTGTCCAGATATAGCTCTTTGTTACAACAACATCGGTTTGGTATATTATTCTGTGGGCACATACTCGAAAGCCCTTTCATCGTATGAACGAGCACTTGAAATCCAGAAATTAGTTCTTCCTCCAAATCATCCGGACTTGGCTACTTCCTACCACAATATCGGTTCGGTATATATTAACACGGGCCAGTACTCAAAAGCCCTTTCATCGTATGAACGAGCACTTGAAATCAGAAAAATAGCTCTTCCTTCGAATCATCCGACCTTGGGTCATCACTACAACAACATTGGTGTAGTGTATTATGACATGTGCCAGTTCTCGAAAGCCCTTTCATCGTATGAACGAGCACTTGAAATCCAGAAATTAGTTCTCCCTCCAAATCATCCAGACCTGGCTGTTTCCTACAACAACATCGGTACATGCTACCAGAAAGCGAGAGATTACAATAAGGCACTTTCATACTATGAGAAGGCACGTGGTATCTGGGAAACTTCACTATCGCTAACTCATCCGTATGTGGCAAGGATAAAACAAAACATTGAAGAAGTAAAAAATTTGTCAGCGTAGCCCCTAACTGTGCTAAAATGTAAAACTCACAACCTCTGACTTTGATCAATTTATGATGCACTGTCATACGTGTGAAAGTGAATTATTATAAATATTACTGAATAAACTAGATCAAATTGTAATCATTTTAAAAACCGACAAACGCGTTCAAAAAAGTAATCTTCTTGAAACTCGGCGCATTTATCAGGCTTCTTACCGGTCTATGCACCAAAATCAGAAAAACAGGCCGGACAAGTTTGAAATAAAAATCAGGTCGTTTTTGACCCATTGGCGTCGAAGCCCATATATATATAGGCTGAAATTTTTCCCATATAACTGTCGCTATAGTATTATTTAGACATTATCCAAAAGACTCTCCTCTCTTGAGATCTCACGTGCCTCCTAATTCACTTTCTACCCCGTTCTAGTATATTCTGTGAGTTCTCTTTCTTCTTTCTTTCTATATATTTTTTCATACAAACAAAACTATCGATTTAATACGCGAAGGGACATACATCTTCGGATATAAATTCTCACAAGATCAAATAAGATTCTCGTTGCCCTATACGTATATTGCTACATAAACAATTTATTATTCATCTCTATTCATATAACTTTTTGCTGAGTACGGTAATAAACGCTAATGATGATCTTTATGAAATTCAGATGGATAGCGATTCTGAAGACATTTCTTAAAAGAAAATTGGCGAAGTTTATTCATTAGACGTAGATAGTAACGAATCAGACGATTCGACGAACGAAACTCTAGTGTTTCATTAAACATACGTGCTATGAAAGGTGATACTTCTATTCATGATTTTGAATTATTGTTTGATGAAAAAGTGATCGACTCAATTGTCGAAGAAATGAGCAAGTATTCGATTTTTGTACCAACGATATAACACATAATGTATCTTCACATTAAATAAAGTAGATACCGATACATTGCTCAGAAATGTACACTTTTGTTGCTACAATTATGGTGATGTCCGCAATTAAAAAGAATAATTTTCCAGAGATAGGTTTCTTATGTTCTTGAATTACTTGCATTTTAACAATAACTCAAATCAGATGGTCGGTGACAAATTTTATAAAATCAAACCAGTAATAAATGAATTGCAGAGGAAATTCAGGTTTTCTTATTATTCTGCACAAACACGTACGTATAGATGAAAGTTTAATTCTTTGGAAGGGCCATTTAGTCTTCAAACAGTATATAACAACTAAAAGTCATCTGTGATTATCAAACAGGTGTCGTTTTAAATTTCATTGGATATACTGGCTCCTATGTGAAACTCAGTGAATATCAGAATTTGGGAAAATCGATTTCCCTAGTTATGACTTTGATGAAACCGTATTTAAACAAGGGGCATCCATTTTATCTCTATAACTGATATGACTGTACGCAAAAGTCGTCTTGATCTAATTAAGTTTAATAAATTGACAAACGGTGATTTTGAGTATAACAAAATTAGCACTCTAATGGCGTTGAAGTAGCAAGACAAACGATAAGTCTCCATGTTATCTACAATTCACAAACTGAGGATGATCCAAAAATAAAAAACCAGAGTGTGCTGTTCATTCACTAGTCGACTCTTCGGAACGAAATCCCCAGAGACTTGCATATCTTAGGAACTCCTCAAAAGTCTCTGGAAAATTCCTCTAAAATGTTCATAAATTTGAACTTTTCAGAGAATTCTAATGGTGACTTCCTAAAGAGACTTTAGTAATACTCATCAACTCCTTGGTGAGACCCTGAGTTCTTTCTTAACTCCATAGGGTTCTTCTAGGAAGTTTCGACTAGGATTACAAAGAAAACATGGACTCAGGTGATAAAACTGATATGAAGATCAGTTTTGTGAAATACTTGCGAAAGGCCATTAAATAGTATAAGAATTTATTGTTCTATCTGATGGATTTATCAACCTTGAAAGCTTATATTGTATTCAAAGTGAAGCATGACACGACTATTCGATTTGACGATTTCCGAATTCAATTGATGCAGGAACTGGTTGAAAGATATGATCAGCCCAAAGATCCAATCGATCGTCCAATTATCGGAAACACTCTCATGCATCTCGCTACACGTCATTTTCCATCTCTAGTCCCAGCAACAGCAACAAGAAAATTGTACAGAGATATCGTGTAATTTGTAGTCATACAAGTTTGAAGAATCAATCATTTGAGAAAAGTAACAACTTGAACCGATTACGACAAAAACAGAAAAAGTAGATTATTGAAATGAAATAATTTAAACATTATCCTTTTTTTTTGTATTGTCAAAAATATGATTTAAGCATTTTTATATAAATTTGACATACAGACCTAGCAAAAAATTAGAATGTTTCATAGTTTTGTAAAATTCAGCACTACAGAGATAATTATAAAAAAAACTATGATAAAATCAGGAACTCTCATCAAAAATGGGAAAATCAGACGACTTTAATTAAACTATTCTGAATGTTACCTGTTTTTGATTGAAACCTATTTTTGATTTCTATTCTTAGTACAATAAGATAGAAATCGATCAATAAACATTACAAAATCTCCTAAGGGTGTGGGTGTGTGCACAGAAGGCTCACACCAACACCCACACCCACACTCCACACCCACCCACACTCACCCACACCCACACCCTCATAACGTTTTTTTATTATTATTTAATGCGATCCATGCTGAAAATCCTGTTTCTCAGCCTTTTCCATTAAAAAATCTTTCCGTTTTATTTTGAGTCTACGTTCGAGATGGAGCTGCTGCATTGTGGTGTAACACTCTCAATTCATTTGCAATATATAAAAAGCACATGACAAAGAGAAACATGTATTTTTTTTTATAGCACATTTATTTGACTTCTCAAGTTGCAGCAAAACAAGAAATTATATGAGACTACACAAAAATTTAAAAGAAATGATAAGAGATGACTATTACTTGTATGCACTGCATCTTGATTTATCTCGGTAAGAGTTTTATTTAAATGATGTCATTTTACGTCTAATATTTCAAAGTATTTCACCAAATTCTAACAACCTTTAGTTTATGATAAGAAGAACGTGAGTATCATTGCCTATTTAGAAAATATTTGCTTTTTAACATACGAATTTATTTCAAGGAACACAATGTAGGCTATTTATTAAAAATGTATCAAACATTTTAGTAGAATAAATGTCATGTTTGAAGTGCGTCTACTGAATAAAAAAAACGTATTCATGATGAATCTGTTTAGTCTGCATTTGTCAGTACTACTTTAAATCAAAGATACATGACAGATATACATCTATGGGGATTGAAAGGATTACAGATAAACATCGATACACTTCAATCTATATGAAATTTCATATAAAAATTCTTTTCTAGTCAATAGCATTCAACGAAAATGATCTTATGCAAGTATCTACTGACACGTATTCATTTATAAAAATCTGTCAAATTTTTAAATAAAGAATTGACTTAAATATCGAAATCTAGATTGAAGTTTATTAGAATTCAAATTTACACCTACATCATAATCTTCTAGGTAATGTTCTATATTATCATTGTACGTCTTCACAAAGTATAGCGAACAATTTTTCTGTTCTCTGCATGAACCAAAATCTGAAAAATAATGATGAAAATTTCTCATATATATTCAATAAACCAATCTAGGCGATGCTAAAAAAGATATAAGAATTGTTCATTTGAACATAGCATACTAGTATTAAGCAAACTAATGAACAACGCCAAAAATGGCGAATATTAAAAGTAGTGAGAGAAGACAGCGAATAAGTAGATGCCTTATGTATATTTTCAGGTGTTAATGTAGATATGATTGTACATTTGGATTGAAGAGGATGACTGTTTCATTACATATTTTATTCAAAAAAGACGAAATAAATTTGAAAAAAATATTCTCTAGATTAAGTTTTTTCATTTGAAAACGAAAAACGTCAAAGTAATAGTTTCTTGATTATTTTAACTTTTATTTTGTGTCATTAATGCTACGAACATTCATTTGCTAATATTTATTTCGATACTTTGTTACCAAAATGCTTCCTGTTTAGTCAAGATTAATGAATGGAGCAATTCATCGATCTCTACTGGAACTACCTGTTGATCTCGTCTATCGAATTTTTGATTATCTTGATGACTTTACACTTTTATGTTCAACACGAAATGTTTGCATTAAACTCAATATGATCATTGATACATATCATCGATATGCAGTAAGTTTTTATCTTTTTATTTAATCAGTGTTCGACTCACCTTTAAGATATCATTATATTTAAGAAAAGATCATTTTCATTTGTTGATTATAGATTGAACTTATTAAGAATTAAAGAAATATCAACTGATAAATTTAATCATTGTTTTATAAAAATTCTTTCCTTGTGGCTCCACTCAAACCTCCACTCAACAACCATACTCACACCACATTCTCTTTAACCAAAAATACTTCACTTTTTATCAAACAATAAATATCAATTCATCATAGTTCATAGAGATTGTTATATTCGATCATTTTGACTAAATAAGGTAGCAAAACAAGAAAACTAAAGTAGTAGATACATGATGTTGTATTTTAAAAGTTCCTGCTCGACTGATCTATATTGATTCTCATGATATATTAGATCAACTTTCTATGGAAATTCTCCTGACAAACGAAATAAAATTCGTTTTTATCATAAACTATTGTCAAATCTATTAGTATTCAATCTTTTAGCTAGGGAAAGTTGATTGGATTGAGTCAGAAAATTCCTTTAATACATTGATATTTATTCTTTGATAAAAAGTGAAGTATTTTTGGTTAAAGAGAGTGTGGGTGTGAGTTCGGTTGTTGGGTAGAGGTTTGAGTGGAGCCACAAGGAAATAATTTTTATAAAACAACGATTACATTTTTCAGTTGATATTTTCTTAATTCTTAATAAGTTCAATCTATAATCAACAAATGAAAATGATCTTTTCTTCAATATAATGATATCGTAAAGGTGAGTTGAACACTGATTAAATAAAAAGATAAAAACTTACTGCATATCGGTGATATGTAT